GTGGCAGAATATTATTTGCCGTTTCGGCCTCCCTGAGCAGATTGTCACAGACAACGGAAAGCAGTTCATAAGCAGGAATTTCGAAAACCCTTAGGCAAATGGCCAAGTAGAAAATATGAACCGTACCATTATGGATGGTATGAGGAAAAAACTAGAACATTGTTCCTCATCATGGCCAGATCAACTGAATTACATCCTATGGACGTATAGGACCACACCCTGAACGGCCACAGGAGAAACACCTTTTGCCTTCACTTACGGTTTCCAAGCCAAGGTTCCAACAGAAGTCCTAGTTCCCACACACCGAACGGTGCACTACAACCTAGAACACAATGAGGATAATCAACGGGTCGAACTGCACTTCATTGAGGAAAGGAGGGATCTAGCGGCTAGACGGATGGAGGAATATCACAGGGCAACAAGGAGATACTTTGACAAGCAAGTCAAAGTCCGATCAATCCAAATAGGAGACTTGGTTCTAAGGAAGCGATAAAAGAGCAAGCCTCTCGAAGGCGGAAAAATGGCCCAAAACTGGGAAGGCCCTTATCAGGTCTGCAAGAAATATTCTTCAGGAACGTTCGGCCTACAATCTACCGAGGGCCGACCGGCAGGAACATGGAATGTTGAACTTTTGAGGAAATTTTACCAATAAAAACGGCTGTTGTCACCTCTTGTAAAAAAAACAAAAATAGAGAGAGGGAGACATAACTTCCAGGAAAGTCTCACCTCAGCTTTTAACATGTAAAATCATTCTGGATGACCAAATGAGGAATGTGTTAATAGTTTGGAGGGAGCCATCATCTCAGCTAAAGTTTTTGACCCTATGATTATGAACGAACGAATAAAGGGATCAAAACGGCTTGGAGGTGGTGTCAAAAGTATAAGTATGGACGAACTGAGCGACGTTCGGTAACACAGATTGTTCGAACGGGGGATCGGAACTATGGTTTTTAAATGTCGCCTCAGTCATTAGCTTCAACGGACCCCAATGACATGGGATCGAAGGGAGGGATCCTTAAGCAATTGATTTGGAAGTGAGTCGCCATTTTAGCTATAAATAAGAAATGACCCGACCGGGGGATCTTGCTTATAGTTTGAATATTGTCATCTCAAACCCCTAATATGGATGATCTGGATCGGAGGAAACCGAACAGATTGCATCGGGATTTTGGGGTTTGGAAGATACAAAGAGCAATGAAATAACATGATCGGGGAAAGAATCATGTTTTATTCTTCGGCACTACTGGCCGGAAAGTTCAAAAGAAATCAAGAGTAATACAACAAGAGCAAAATATTATGCTACTGGATGATCCCTGATCGGGGAAGATAGGGGCTAAGAGCCGCCAGCCTGTGTCAAATCATCGGAAACAGCCTTCTGTCTTTTTTCAATGACCCGATCATAAGTATTGCCGAACAAGTCATCAAAACCTAATTCATGAGGATCGAACAGCTTGGGGAAATGCTCCATCATCAAATCGAGATTCCTATCAACAAGTAAATCTTGGCTTTGTTTCACCGTCTTCTCAGTCAAAACATCCAGAAAGGCTTTCCCCTTTGGCGTGCCATCCAGGAGCTCGATCCCCGCCTTGATTGAGTCGTCACTCTCACGCAGAAATTGACCAAGATGAGGTCCCAGAAACTGCCGAGCGGTGTTTTCAAGGGCAACATTTAGCCCTTTCCCTCGTTGATAATCGATCACTGCTTGCCTCGTAATCTTGGAAGTATCGGCAGTATAAGGATCAGGGGGATTTTCTCCCTCGGTCTTGTCAAACCTCATCCCAGCAGATTCGGCCACCTTCACCTTAGCCTTGAGATCCTTGAAATCTCGATCACGACGGTGGATCCTCTCCTCCATCTCGGCCAGTTCGATCATTTCTCTCTCACCTTTGGTGGCATGGTCCTGCAAGTCCGTGATCAGCTTACGAGCAGCAGATAGAAGGGTGTGACTATCATCCCGGTCACTTGCCAGGAGCTTCATTTCCTGTTCGGCCGCCAGGAAAGCCCGATGGTAATATACGCCGGCCTACAAACGGCAGACAGGTTCAGATGAGGTATAAGAAGATCAAAAAATAATAAACAAAGTTTAAAAGGATCCATACCTTGAGGGACTCAAGATGACCTGCCTCAACCAAGTCAGACCAATGGGTCAGGTTGGACAAACTGAGGGGAACTTTCAAAGAAGAATTACACCACATAGAGGCGGGTGTCTGCCTGAACATGTATCTTTCCTCTGCCCGAGGCCCCAAGTTGGAAAACTCCACAAACATCTGATTATCGACCGGCACGTTGTTAAGAACTGCATTCTTGGGTTTAGGAGGGAGAACAGGTTTTTAGGCTCAGTCTCTGGACCGGTCAAATCTACTATATGATCGATCAGGACAAGCTGGGTACCGTCATTTCCCCGACGCCTTTTCCAGGTTTGTTCGGCATCATTCTGATTTTCAGCGATCAATTTCTCCTTGCCTTTCCCAGTAGAGGAAGTCGAAATAGGAACATGTGTGGAACGCCGAGCGGCAGCAAGAGGACTCACGCCTGCAAAGGGAAAAACAAGGATAAGGAACAGAATTGAACGAAGATCGATCGAGCTAAAAACAAGCGAACTTATCAATTCCAGCAGCCAACATCTTGGAAGAAGTGAAAGATTGAAGATTCCAAGAACCTCCCAGACGCAGAGATTCAGATTGGGAAAGAAGAACGACATCTAACCTAGGTTCAGAATCCCGAACTGGGTAAGCGTTCCACCGATCGGGATATGGAAGTTACTCGTCCACGTGAACGAAAAGAAATCGTTCCTCCCAGTTAGCTAGCGCAATAGGGTTCTCCGTGAACAACTGACGGTCAGCTCGAGCCACCAACTTCAAATACCCAGTACTTTAGTAAGGCGGATAGCAGTAATGGTACAAGAACAGATCAACATTAGGAGTAATCCCCAGTTCATGACACCGGATGATGAAACCATTCAGGATGCGATAGGTGCTGGGCTCACGCTGAGCTGGAAGCATAGAAACCCGACGCAAAAAAGCTATGATAAACGGGTGCAGGGGGAAACGAAGTCCAGCCGCCAAAGCATCAAGATGTACTAGCACGTGCCCCGGACGGTGCCTCATTGGATGCTTAATGAATCCAGCATAAAATTCCCTAGGGGGAGGCAAAAGTTGGCGAATCTGCCGTTTGGCGTCCTCAGGAAGGCATTGCCTTTGTTTCCGGATACGGGTGAAGTGCAAAGGGATGCGAGGTGGCCGTTCGGGCATCCCCTTGTGGTAAATGGCGAGATCATCATCCGATAAGCACCCATCATCTGGGAGAGGTTGTTCGGGTTGTTTCGATACAGAAGGATTTGTGGAGTCAGGTACTTGTGATGATGAGCCCCCGGCTTTATTAACAGGGGAAGTTTTTACTCTAGGACGACGAATGAGCGGCATATCTTCTTCTTCTGAAGAACCGGAGGAGAATAACACAAAAACAGGAAGGGAGCCTGAGGATTCTAGAGAGAGAAAGCTCAAAGAGAAGTAGGAAAAGATTGAAGAAACAACACAAAATTGAGAAGGAAGTACCTCTCTTCTTGTAGAAGAGAGTGCCGCCCAAAACCTAGACTCCATGAAGGACACGTGGCAGAATGTGGTTGCGAGCAATTATGACGCATTTATGGTAACTCTAGCATGTATCTCGAACGATGTACGTATCAATGAACATCCCGAACCAAGGTTGGCACAACTCACAAGCATGTATGATTACACCAAGCAAAAGGATAAGACAATCACCTCGAACGGGGAATTTTGATCAAATATATGTATCAATGAATGACCGAATGAGGAATGTGTTAACAGTTTGGAGGATGCCATCATCTTAGCTAAGTTTGGACCACAAAAGGGTTCCAAATGGTTTGAAGGTGAGGACAAATCAATAAACGTGAACGACCCGAGTGGCGTTCGGTAACATGAATGAATACAGAATTCAAGCTAAGGATTTGGAAGTATCTTTACTTTAGCTATAGGCAGGAGGAAATAACCCGAACACGGAATCCTACCAATAGTTGGAAAATAAGATTCCCCAAACCGTTAGTCTGAATGATCCGGATCAGGAAACAACATACGGATTAGCATCAAAGAACACGAGAAACAGTTAAGTCCTACAGAACTGGCCGAACCCCGAATGACAAGAAAATAAGGATCAAAGAACACGAAAAATGGCCAAGTCCTACAGAACTGACCGAATCCCGGATGGTAAGGCAAAGAGTGATCAAAGAACGCGAGAAACGGCAAAGTCATATAAAACCCGCTTAATCCCGAATGGAAAGATAAAGAAGCATCAAAGAATACGAGAAACTAGCCGTATCCCGGATGGCAAATACAAAAAGTAAAGTAAAATAACACATGGGCAAAAATATTTCATTCATCGGCTCTACCGGCCGGAAATTACAGCAATACTACATTCTGGGGAAAAAAGGGAGCTGCAAAATAGGTTTAACACAAGATAAAGATTTATCTACTGGTCGGGGATTTCCTATCCACCGTCTTCTAGATCGGAAGGGGGTTCAGGCTCTCTGCCAGCTGCACGATTCGCTTCCCTTTGAACATCTCGTCCATACTTCTCAAATTGGGCCTGAACGATATCGAACGAGAGGAGGTCGGAAGCTTCAACCGGCCTCCCAAGTACCTGCTGCATTTCGGCCAAAAAAGGCTGCAGGATGTGCTGATAGCCCTTGACATAGAGATTTCCAGCCAGGGAATCATTCCAACGTTTACCCCAAGGATCCTTATCCAGAAGGGCCATTCCTGCCGCACGCCGTTCATCACCCTGGGGGAACTTCTCAAGGTAAGCCCCAAATATGGCTGGGAGTTGCTGCAGGGCGTAATCCTCTTTGATAGCGGTGAATTCACCAAAAGATTTGAATGCCTCCCGAATGGCGGACAGATCCACATTTACCTCAGTAGGACCATCTGGGATGCGGGGAGGCGCCTCTTCAAACCTAATATGAGCGGCCTCAGCAGCAAAGACTTTGGCCTGGGAAGCAGCAAGCTGGACCCGGAGATTGCCAAGCTCGATCTCGAGCCGTTGCTTTTCTTCAGCAGCCTTCTGTTGGTTGTCGAGCTCGATCTCCAGCCGTTGATTTTCCTCAGCAAAAGCCTTCCGTTCGGCCTCACGAGTCGGGAGAACAGTGGCGGCCTCTTGTTCCGCCTTAGCCTGAGCCACGATCAGGTCCCGTTCCTTGGCAAGACGTGTTTCCCGTAGCTGCAGACTATATAGCCCCATCTGCAAACCGTTCAGAGAAAAAAGATAAGAAACCTTGATTCGTATAAGAAACAAATGGAAAGATATAAAATGAAGTACCTTCAGGGCTGTTAAGGCAACGCAATCCTCCGCCCGGTCGACGGGAAGGTCGGGAAGCCGAAAGTTATTGAAGAAGGCAGAAGTGGACCAGATCTGGTTCACAGAAGAGCCGACCTTTTCCAATATCTCATGAGCCGGATCCTTCAGGGAAATCCTTTTGATCTGACCCACAATGTTGGCCGGATGGGCCTGATCGGCCTCCATGGTCACCTCCGGAGCAGCCTGGACATGCTCAGAAAAATGATACGATTGATCAGACCCGAACGGGTTATCCATCATCATATCCTCAGGCTCCTGATAATGAGGAACCTGTTGAAGAGGCTCAGTCGCCTGAACGGGTTGAGAGGACCCGACATCTTGAGAAGTGATGGGGGAAGGCTTGGCCTTGGGATTCTTCTTGGCCTTCTTCCTCTTTCCCACTCCACCAGCTGCAAGCACACGACTGTCATCCATCAGAGTATCTGGGTTGGGAGCTGAAAAAATAAACAAAGACAAAAGTTAGTACCGAGCGATCTTGCTACTAAGAAACAAAGGAGGAGTGTTTCTCGAACGGGAAGGACCGCCCGGCCCATGCCACTTGGTTCTCAAAACAAGTAAACCCAAGAGTGCGGGCAGTACCTATCCCGGCTTTGTCGAGCTGATCCGGAGTCAGGTACTCTATAATGTTGCAAGTTTTGGCCTCCTCCACTGCAAAAACATCCTTACAGATCGTCACGGTAAGAATCGGATCTGGTGATTTACGAGGAAAGGCATTCCACCTATTCAGAATCAGATTATCCGGGACTGAAACGAAGAAAAACTGGTCTTTCCACCCCTTGATTGAAGTTAGGTTACCCTTGAATAATATATGTCCCGGTCGGGCGGTTGTAGCCAAATACCCGTGGGTCTGCTGAGGAGCCACTTTAAAAAATTGATGAAACAAATCCAAACTGGGCGTAACCTTGACATCTACACAACGGCAAATGAAGTCGGCCATCACCCCATAGGAGTTCGGCATGATTTGGGCCGGTACTACCTCGTAGAAATTGAAGAAGGACACGAAGAATGGGTGCAAAGGAAACCTAAGCCCAGCTTTCATCGAGTCTAAATGGACCACCACCATCCCAAGGAGGTGGCGCATTGGGTGAAGCCCAACCCGAAGACGGAAATCCACCGGGTCCGGAATTAGGGATGGAATTTGAGCCCTATTGTGAGAAGTCAATTTCTGCCTCCTCTCCCTGATTAACCTTAAATCCACCGTATAGCGAGGGACATCACCCGGGGGACCAGCCGCCATTGCAGCAAGTTCATCGCCAGACATCGTGCCATCAGAATCCTCACCGGAAGGGTTAGACTCGCCCGAGGAACCTTCCTCAGCCGCCCCCACAGTCGCATTATTGGTGACATCAGCAAAAGGGACTTCTATGGCGTCTAGTACAGCGGCGTCATGAGTTTCCCCTCGAGAAGTGGGCCCCGAATCCGAGCCGGAAGAAGATGGTCGAGAAGACATGATGTACCGAACGCGAAGTGAAAGAAACAGAAGGGAGGGGTAGAAAGTACCTGAACACTCGAAAAATTGCTGGTCCTAGAGAGAAGGCAGAGCTAAAGCATGAAGGAAATGAGAATTCGAAACCCATAACCAAGGAACTAAGGCCTATTTATAGCCTGACAAGTGCCGTTTCGTCGACCAACCAGATAAAGACACGTCACCAGGAGCGTTTAAGGAAACTCATGTCACACGGGAAAACAAAGGACAGCCACAAGTAGGTCGTAACATCAGGACATCGGGAACCGACGAGATCTGTATCCCGATCGATAATCGGTTTAAATTTTCTATTTCCTTATGCACTCACTACCATTCGAGACATCGGAAGTGGGGGACTCGTGTTGGGATATTGGACTGAAGGCCCAATACCCGGGCCAAAGGCCCCAAATATCCAGTCCAATAATTAACCCGGACCAGACGAAGAATGGTCCAGTGAGGTATATTCCCTGAACGGGAATCGGGTCAGCTAGGGTACTTTGGGCCAGATCAATGATGTTTTCGGCCTGGTCCATGACTCCGTTTTGGCAACGGACAATTTGCAACTGATAAGGTGCATTAAATGCTAGAGTATGACATCAAGAAGTGAGAGCATGGACGTTCAAGTGGCTGGATTAGCAACCAATCAGCATGGAGCACCCCATACCCCCCCCCCCATTAGTATAAATAGAGGGATTAATATCATTGTAAAGGGTTAGCATTTTGATACTCAAGGCCTAGAATATCTTTCTCATTCTTGTTATTGTATTAATCACTATTCCGACGTACCGTTCGGGAAGTTTCGTGTGTATTCAGCGAATTGTTTAAATACAAGTGGGCTTTGAGCTTATTATTATTATTCAGCTTTTATATTTTGTTATACCCTCGATTTATTGCCCACATTCTGAAATATCCACAGCGTGTGTTGGGCTTTCGGATATGCGAGACTTAACCTCAACACTCCCTAAACAATACGAATATACGATACCATACGAAACACCTTATTCTTAAAACCAGTTATGTAAATCACTTAAGGGGGTGTATTGTAAGTGCAATTAGTTGCAAAATTTTAGAAGTTCGTGGATTTTTAAAAATCTAGATGTATTGAATAATGACTTTTAAAAGTCCATCAAAATTTAGGTGTATTCGATTATGACTTTTGAAAGTGTATTCAAAATGTCAATAAAACTAATGGAATTAGAAAATAGTAGAATCTCATGGATTTTACAAAATAGTAGAATCTCATGGACTTTACGGCTAGTAGTATATATACAGTAGTATATATAGTCATTCTCTATTTCTCTTTATGTTACGTTTTCTTCCCCACCCCAAAGATTTGACGTGAGATAGGCGTGGTTTCTTGGCTACCTTCATTAACACTCGCCAATAAGCAAGGTCTGCTTTGATTTTGTTTGTTCTCCACACTCTAAGGTCCTGTTTGGTTGGAAGGGTTTCGAGGGAGGTGAGAAAAATGAGGGATTTGTATGTGTTTGGTTGAAGGAAATAGAGAGGAAGGGAAGGAAGACGTTGTTTGTTTATTGGCGGTTTGTAGCCAATCCGTTGGAAATACCAGCGTTTTCCTTCGTTAAAACAATGGCGGTTTGGCCAATCCGTTGTCATCCAAACACCACCAAAGTGGAAGGCTTTCAAAATCCTCCACTTGCTCGGTTGCTCCCATTCTAAACCCTCCAAATCGTGGTATTTTGGAGGAAACGTGTTGATAACCACAAACTATCCGTCTTCTACGTGAATGAACAAAACATTATAATATAAAAAGGTAAAAATTAAAAAGTTTTGAAAAAACAAAAAAGTTAAAAATTTAAAAATTTAAAGTTTAAATATTTTCAAAATTTAAAATTTAAAAATTTTAAAAATTAAAAAATTTAAAAATTATAAATTAAAAATTTTAAAACTTAAAATTAAAAAAAATTTAAAAATAAAAATTAAAAATTAAAAATTCCAAACTGAAAAATGAAAAATTATAAAATTAAAAAAGTAAAAAATCAAATAAAATAAAATTACGACTCATGACCATAGGAGTAATATTCACAATAGTTAGACATGTATCTCTTTTTTTAAGTAAGATATCCAATAAAAGTAAATTGCGAAAATATTTTCATTAAACCTTTTCTCCTATTTCCTCCAACCAAACACAAATTTTTATCAAAATCCTTCCTTCCTCTTCCCTTCCCTCCTAGACTCTCCCCTTCCCTCCCCTCCTTTGAACCAAACAAGGCCTAAATGATTATGAATTTTCTGTTGTTAATATAACAACTTTAAGACAAAAAGAGAGTGCAATTGCAACTCGTTAACAACAACTTTATACTGTTCTTGTTGTTGGGCCCAAGTGAAATGATGCTTCCTCTGGGATTTTCAATACTCCGTATGATTTTTTAAACAGAATTCCCTAAATAAGACTAAAAGAGAGTGCAATTGCAAAAACAGGACATATTGTTTTAAATTTCCTAAATAAGATTAATTATTTGTATTTGGACAAAAATAGTCTTGATTAGTGCAACACATGACTCTTGCGATAAATGTTGCTGGCGACACACCTCTGCTATATGCCCAGGTAAGTTCCTTCTTCTTCATATTTTTCTTCTGCTCCTCTATTAACTTCTTCTCAAGCTCCCTGTTTTCTTCTTCTACAAATTTCCTATTTTCTTCTTCTTTTGGATTTCCATTTTTTATTAATCTGATTAACTTATTTTTAAATGATTCATATTAGTGTTCTTATCACTTCAATCTGAAAAATGTCATAATTGATGTTTAATCCAACACTGTTTTGTTAATAATGTCACATTTATGACAATACATTTGCCAAGATGACAGTTCAAAAAAGAGAATGACATCTTATGACATTTTCGAAAGAGTAATAATGTCATTCTCGTGACATTTTCGAAACAAAAATGACATACTTAAAGTGTCAATTTTTGAGTAACAATGTCAGTTGTATGTCATACTGTCATCTTGATAAATATAATGTCAATTTCTAATTGCTTGTAATTTATGGCATTTTGAGGTTCCAAATTAATCAAAATTAATAAAATAAATAAATAATTGAAATCTAAAGAAGAAGAAAACAGAGGATCTAGATTCAAAGATGATGTGAAGGAGAAGACAAAAGAAGAAAAGAGGAGGAAGAAGAAGAGGAAGAGGAAGAGGAAGAGGAAGAGGAAGAGGAGAGGAAGAGGAAGAGGAAGAAGAATATTACATGGATGTCGCCGGAGAAGAAGGTGAGCAGCCTGGGCGTCTTCATCGCAAATCGCTGTTGATCTTCATCGCAGATGGCCTAGACGTCTTCATTCCAAATCGTGTTCATCGCAGATGGCCTGAGCGGATCTGATCGCTGTTGGTCTGCGTTGGAGCTGATAGCCATTTGGGGTTTTATTAGATGAAGGGTAAAAAGGCAATTGGGAGTCTTATTTAGGGAATAATAAACTTAATGTCCTATTGTGGAATTTTAACCATGTTTTAGTCCTATTTAGGACAATTATTTTTTGGGAGATTTGCAATTTTAGTCCTGTAACTTTCGGCTGTTATCGTTTTTGGTTCTGTAACTTTAAGTACTAGCAAATTCGGTCATGTAACTAATAAATCTTTGTAATTTAAGGACTTTCCCACCGGAAAGTACACTTTCCGGCGGAGAAGTTCGACGCCGGCGACATCTTTTCCTGTATGCTATAGCCGGAAAGTGTACTTTTCATG